TAATGCACAGAGAAGCTGTCAAACACTGCTTCAAATAGAAAAGTGGCACCTTCCTCTGAAGAAGCCATTCGAACTTTTAACATGCTGTCACACACTGGGCTACCTAAGGTCATAAAGCATGCACCACTGGCCAAATTCAGTGTCCTTGCATCACTTCCAGAGTAGTCACTTTTATTTCTAGCGGAGGACTCGAGGACAGACTTGGAGAAGCACTGAGTAGCTGTGAAAAGATAGGGGAGGAAGAGGGAGAGTGTGATCTAGCTAAATACAAGTCAGGTAAGGGAAGCCATCACGGGGACACAACAAATACACATTATGGAGATTAGCTGAGGAAGAAAAACCTTGCAAATGAACGGGACAGCCAGTAAGGTCAGGTATTGAGGAACCATAGTCAACATTATGCATTTGGTTGGCTAAGAAAAAGGCAGTTTTTTACAGAATTGGAAAGACCAAAGATGTATTTGTTTTTCAAGACAGGGTTTCTCTGTGTAGGCCTGGCTCTCCTGGAACTATGTAGACCAGACTGGCCTCAAACTCAGAGAGATCTTCCTGCCTCTACCTCCTGAGTGCTGGGATTAAAGGCCTGGGTCACCAGCGCCCGTCTCCAGAGATGTATCTTAATGGGATCTGAATAAATGAACTGAACGTGTGAGACGGCTGGAAAGACACTGGAGTCTTCAGGGAGCACTCTTTCTTGTAGTATTTCCCTTTCCTCCTTCCCTCTCTTTCCCTTCTACAATCACTCTTGTAAGTACCATCTAGTGCTAAGGGAAAGTCTCATTGGTCTCCTTTTGTTACTAGTCCCTTCACTGGTCTCCTTTAAAAAAAATAGTATTTATTTTGCACAACTTTTGGGAGCAGGCTCTCTCCTTTCATTGTGGTATCCAGGGATGGAACTCTGGTCGCTCAGACTTTCCACAAGCTTTTACCTTCTCTTAATGGCTCCATTGGTCTCCTTTTAATACCTTGAATGTTTTTAGAATTTTAAAAAGCATGCTAGCGGGGCGGTGGTAGCACACGCCTTTAATCCCAGCACTCGGGAGGCAGAGCCAGGCAGATCTTTGTGAGTTTGAGGCCAGCCTGGGCTACAGAGCGAGATCCAGGACAGGCACCAAAAACTACACAGAGAAACTGTCTTGAAAAACAAAAACAAAAACAATCCAGTACAGGCACCAAAAACTACACAGAGAAACCCTTGAAAAACAAAAACAAAAACAAAAACAAATCCAGTACTTAACACCCTTTTGGGACACCAGAAATTTGTTTGGGGCTGGAGAGATGGCTCAGAGGTTAAGAGCACTGACTGCTCTTCCAGAGGTCCTGAGTTCAATTCCCAGCACCCACATGGTGGCTCACAACCATCTATAATGAGATCTGGCACCCCCTTCTGTATACATAATCTAAAATATATATATAAGAATGTGTTATCTGGGCATATGAATTCATCTTGTGTGAGGAGTACTTTCCATTAAAAAAAAAAAGGCATGCTAATAGGAGCCCACTTCAACACAAGCTGTCCAGCTGCTTACCAAGACTATTCTTCGAACTCCTGGTATAGGGTCAGCACGTGCATTATTAGCAACACTGCAAGGACACTCACTTCGTGAAGCAGCCTAAAGATAAGGTCTGTTCTTGGGAACATTTACTTGTCCATTTCGGGTAACTTCAAAGGTTTATGTTGGTTCCTGCTTCCCCGGGATAGTCTTTGTGATACATTGTAACTTCGACATGTCTGCACATACTAAGAACAAGGATTTGGGCATCCATTGATGCTCACGTAAAATAATGCGAGTTTATGTGAAGGCTCTCTTCCTTCCAAAGGAAACACAATAAACCTTGTTAACACTATTACTCAACCAGAGCCTGACTCCTGATGATCATATACACACCAAAACAGAAATGAAGTCAACTCCCTTCAGCTCTTCCTAGCCCAAGTGCACTTTTAGGTTTTCATGACAGGTTCTGTTTCTTCATTTGCAAATCTTAGAGTATATTCCAGAAACAATTTAATGCCAAACCACCTCCAAGGTGATGAGTGCTTAGCCTGCCATTGTCTTTAATTACCCTCTTTCATGCTATATAGTGCCGTTTGCTAAGGTACTAACCTTTTTTTTTTTTTTTATCATAAAATTTCTTAATCCCTACTTCCCAATGTCTAACTTCAACAGAACGTCTTTTTAGTACAGAATTAGATGTTAAACGGGCAAGACCTGAAGTCCCTTTAGCCCTATTTTGCACTCAAAGTATTTGATGAAATCAGGATTCAGCCTCTTCTGAATTCTCTGGCAGCTACTTACTGCCTTTTGAGGTGGCATTTTCCACTAATAGACAGCTCTATATTTTAGGACTGCACTATTTTTTCAAGCTTCATTTCACTATCCCTCCCCAGGCTAAAACTCATAGTATATATGTGGAATTTTCTCAACTATGAGTTTCAATTAAAGCTCTGATAACTTCCTTTTAGGTATCTGGGGTAGTTTGTTATAAATTATCTTCTGAAAAATTATCAAAGTAACTACTCTAAGGTGTGTCTGTATTGCGTGTTCAGATAAAGGACCTCAGCTGGATGACCTTGGAAAAGCCACCTCACTTTTGGACTACCCCAGCAGCAAAATTACTTCTTACAGGCTGCTGTGAGAATCAAGTAACATACTATAAAGCTCTGTAGGAGCAAAGCTGCAGATGTATCTTGTTCACTATTTAATTCTAAGTGCCTGATGCAGGCAACAGCATGCACAGAATAATTCAATCAGCTCAACCTACTGATCAACAGCCTCTAGCACAATGCCATGCACTCAATTAAAAGTAGCTAATATTATTTATTCAGCATCTTTCCTTTGGCATGATTTCTTCTCACTATATTAACCACTTTATTGAAATCCTCATCTTAAGATGTGGTTCTATAACAATCACTGTGTAGTATGTGGTGATTTTACTTTATCTCAATATTTTAAGTAAGTCTGAGTAGATAAGGGTCCAAAAACAAAACAAAAATCCCACAAACTTCCTCCCACTACTACTCTGGGGAACAGTATAAAAATGATCAGCCACCTAAGAGAACCATGATAACAGTTATCACGGGAAGCCATCATAACCAATACCGAATGGCATTACTATACACAATAAACAGTCGAGTGTGGCCATTACCTATTAGCTTCTCCATTCAGAATGCGTTCATGGCTCTTGAGGGCAGGGATGTGTGAAGTTCACCTGTTGCTGGGTACACACCTATCACTGGGGACCCTTAGGTAGGGTTTCTAGTTCTAGACCCATCTGGACAGCACAGGAAGGCCCTGTCAAGTAAGTTATAAAAACTGCTCCAGGATTCAAAAAGTAGAGACAAAAGATTTCAAGTGATCATAGTGAGCAGAAGTGATTGTGATGGAGCCTTAGGTCCCACCAGCATATTTTGTGACAGCAGACTCACACTAATAAACTTGGAGTTAATGACATGACACATATAACAATTCACTTGAAGTCTTTGGAAGAGTATGCACATTGACTTAACTTGGAATAGTACTTGTTTTTAGCATGTTTAAGATTGGAGTCTGCCAGGCCTGGTGGTGCACGCCTCTAATCCCAGTACCTGGCAGAGGCAGAGGCAGTTCCAGAACAGCCAGCGCTACAGAGTGTGACCCTGGGGAAAAAACCTGGGAGTCTGTAGACATAGTAAAAAAACAGAGCATGGGGGTGGGGGTAATGTAAGGTGCTGAGAGAAGATGTAAGGACAAAACAGTGTGATATAGGACATTTGTTTTCACCAACACGAATTCAAGGGTAGTCTGAGGTAAAGAGGAAGGCAGTTAAGAACACTTGAGTTGCAAGCCTCAGAGTAATCACTCTGGGAGGTTTGTGGAAATCAGATACTGCTGGATTCTGTATTGAGTAACTGTTACTCAAGCTGGGTGTGTGGCTCACGCCTGTAAATCTCAGCACCTAGGAGGCAAAGGCAGGTAGGCAGGCTGATTTCAAGACCATGCTTAATACATGGCATGTCCTGGCACGCCTGGACGACAAGAGACTACATTCACAGTCACTTAGAAAATCCCTCCTACATTCTTGGCCCCATATGGATCGATATTAAGACATGCCCCCCAACTACGTAACACTGGCTGGCCTGGAACTCGAGCCTGCCTCCCGAGTCCTGAGATTAAAGAGGAGTGTCACTACGCCCGGCCAAACTTTTCTTAGATTGGGTTACATTAACTGCCCACATCAGTGAAGATATCAGTAAAAATAAAACTGCTTCTACACCAACAAGTGATTTCAGAGAGGCCTTGTTTGCAAGCCCGGCCAAACTTTTCTTTGATAGGGCTATATTAACCGCCCACATCGGTGAAGCTACCAGTGAAAATAAAACTGCCGCTACACCAACACATGGTTTCAGAGAGGCCTTGTTTGCAAGCTAAGTGAGGGGAGGCATTCGTTCTACGCCGAGATCCGGGCTGCGAGGGCATTTCCCAACGCAACCAGACGCTGCTGCAGCACACTTCTCAAGAGGTCCAGCTTGACACCAGGGGTCGGGTAAGGCGAGAATCTGCCTTGGCGGCTTCGGCTCCGGCTGCGGCCACCAACGGGCATTCGACGTCTGTCGGTCCGAACGCTGGGTCGCGCTGGCGGCCGAGGTCCTCCTGGCTGATTCGGCTCAACACTAGTAACCAGGAAGCTGTCTCCGGAGACCATCGCCCACGCCATTGCAGACGGGCTGAGATCTCCTTGGGAGGACCGGTGGGCCACCCTGTCGGCTTGATCGCCGGCCGACAGCGACACCGAGTTCTGGGCCATCTTCCAACACCGCCCGTAGTGTCTGCCTGACGAACGTCGACCAAACTGGGCCCTCGGCAGCGCCGCAGATCACTCCAGCCCGCGTCGGAAGCAACCGTTACCAGCCCCAGCCGCCATGTTTAGTGCCACGGCGGGAGACGCAGCCGCCGGAAACGGGCGCTGCTCCCGCACGCATGCGTAGCCGGCCTGCGGTCGCGCGCGACGGGCGTTTACGTCGTGACGTCTGGACGAGAGGACGCGGGTCTCCCCGAGAGTGCGCAGTAGGGTCGGTCGGTCGGTCGGTCGGCTGGCTGTGAGCAGTCAGACTAGGCCCGAGCCTGGAAGCGACGCGGAAATGGGGGCGGCGGCCGCCGAGGCCGACCGCACTCTGTTCGTGGGCAACCTGGAGACGAAGGTGACGGAGGAGCTCCTCTTCGAGCTGTTCCACCAGGTAAGGCGCCGGCACGGCCCTAGGGCGGCTGGGGCATTCAAGGGCCCAGCTAAGAAGCGGAGCGCGCCAGGCCGGAACCCCGGGGCGTTCCGGCCAAAAGTGACGTCTGATGATGTGGGTGTCCGCGTCTCCATCCCGGTGAAGGACCAGGGACCCGAGGCGGAACCTCAGCATTGCTTTCCCTGTCCTGCGTACCTAGCCTTCCCTTTGAGTTAATTGGCCTTTGCTTCGTCTCACGTTTCCGCTTTTCTCCATTTCCGCTTAACTTGCGTATGAAATTGCAGACATTAAAGTGTTTTTTTTGTTTGTTTTTGTTTTTTGTTTTTCTTCGAGACAGGGTTTCTCTGTGTAGTTTTGGAGCCTGCCCTGGAACTCACTTTGTAGACCAGGCTGGCCTTGAACTCAGAGATCCGCCTGGCTCTGCCTCCCGAGTGTTGGAATTAAAGGCGTGCGCCGCCACCGCCCGGCTCATTAAAGTGTTTTAAAAACTCTATAAGCTAAACGTAGGAAAGCAGCATTGGCGTGTTTATTAAGTACGAAAAACCCGACCTATCCTGTCCTTTCCTGCTTCATGACTCAGTAGCTGGTTATATTTGATCGATTGATGCGGAAGTTAATTTTTTCAGTCGAAGAAAATCCGCTTTGTCTTGTAAATGTTCTTTTTCGTGCCCCGAGGAAATGACAGCTGTTGTTTGCTTTGTTAAGACGTCACACAATCATGGGAGATGTAGATACAGTGTCATGCTTTCTGTTCTTTGAAATATTATAAATAACACTTTCCCCAAATAATCTCGATTTCAGTCAGAACTAGAATTGTTATCCTTACTAAAAGGGAAGTAGATGGCCGGTCCTTGTCAGGACATTTTGTTTTTAATGAGGTCTTGATTACATACTTTTGTTTAAAACTTTGTGTTCTCTTCTTTATAGTATTTGAGACAGAGAGACAGTCTCTGTAGCCTTGGTAGGTAGCCTGGGACTCCGAGGCTGACTTTGAACCTGATCCTCCTGCCTGCACCTCTTGACAGCTGACAATACAGGCATGTGCCACCGTGACAGGCTTGTATTCTCATTTATTTCTGAAATTCAAATGTTTTCCTGGAATTGCCTTGTTTAAGTTACAAATACTTTTCTTTGCAGGCTGGGCCAGTAATAAAGGTGAAAATCCCAAAAGATAAAGATGGCAAACTGAAACAGTTTGCATTTGTGAATTTCAAACACGAAGTGTCCGTTCCTTACGCCATGAATCTTCTCAATGGAATCAAACTTTTCGGGAGGCCTATCAAAATTCAGTTTAGATCAGGTAATGGCTCAGGTATAGTGGCAATAGGGAGAGGGGCTTTTGTTTGTTTGTTTTTCTTTTGCTTTCTATTTTACTATTCCAGGTTTTTGTTTGTTTGTTTGATTGGTTGATTGATTGGTTTTTGAGACAGGGTTTCAGGTATTCTAGGCTAGCTTCAAACTCACTGTGTAGCCAAGTTGGCCTTGAACTCTTGATCCTCCTGCTTCTACCCCCAAGTGCTGGGATTGTAGGTGTTGACTCCGTACCAGACTTCTGTTTTAAAGATTGGGAATAGGGAGTTAATGATGAAAATACTTGAAATTTTGCTATTTCCCAGGGTGCTTTGTGATTTACAAATACTGATTTTGTTGCTGCTCTTCTGTGAGGATAAGATAAAGCTTTCCACTCATCCAGTCATACATTATAGTATGGGTATCAGAATACTGTAGCCAGATTGGCTGTTTCTGCTTTAAGTAGTATCTTGTTTGGAATGCTTTCTTTTTCTGGTATTACTTAAAAACCTGTGAGGTGGTCTATAACAATTTTAGTGGTGGTTTGTTTGTTTTGTTTTGTTTTGTTTTAGTTTGAGGAGGGTTGGTGTTGCTTTTAAGCTATTTGTCTCTTTGGGGGTAATTTAGACTGGAGGAGACATTTCAAATTGTTGTTGGGCTCTTTGGTTTTCAATTAGAATTTTTGAAATTACCTCATTTTAGGAAGTAGTCACGCCTCTCAGGATGCCAGTGTGTCATATCCCCAGCATCATGTTGGAAATTTAAGCCCCACCTCCACATCTCCTAACAGGTACTGTTTCTCACTCACTATTAAAGTCATTTATCAGAAAGTTTCGGAGGTAATGACCTCAGTGCACAATTGACTGGTTCTTTTGCACTAAAAAAAATACAACTATAGTCATATGTGTTAAAGACATGTCCTATCCACATAAACAGATGGAATTGAAACAAAAAATATTTATCATAATGGCAGTATACTGTGCACTCCCCACCCCACCTCCATCTTTTAAAGGTTAAAATTAACTTTATAATAACTTTATCCCTGATAATTGTGGGTTTTTTTTCTTCTTGCTGTTTAAGAGTACTGATTAGTGAATATTAACTACTGGGCTGAATTAATAGAACTGGAGTGTAAATCTACCTCTGCCGATTGTACAGTCATTAGGCTCATTTCTCTTGGTCCTATCCTTTGTGAGGAAAGAAAGTTGAGTCAAATGGTCTCTGAAGTCCCTGTAGCTCCTGAAGGTTAGAGATATTACTGTCTTTACTTAACTCTGTTTGTTTGTTTTAGATGCCTCACCAAATCCTTTCCATGTATGATGTCAGTTACTTCTCACGCAACTATGAAATAGGATTTATCTATCTCTACTTTGAGTGCAGAAAGTTAATTTTGGCTAACTTGCCCAAATTCGAGCTGTTTGTAAGCAGTGTGTGAAGTTAAACCTGGTTGGTATGATCAAGCCACAGTATGGTACACTGCCAAGTGGAGCTTCAAACTGAGATGAACACATGTACTTTGTGGCTACTTGCTTAATTACTATAATTAGTTCTCTAGAGATGTAGAAAGTGCTTTGAGAGAGTTTTAACAGCAGGAGATGGTGCAGATGGATGAGGAACTAAAAGAAGCCAGTGCAATGAAGGCAGTAGGGAATTTTGATGAAGTACGTAAGAGCTAAGTAAGCATCTCATAGGGCTACTATCAAGTTTTGGGGGGATTTTATCCTAACCAGGAAGAAAGCATTAAAATAGTTTAAGTAAAATGATGATACAAAGTTCAAAGTTTAAAGAGTTACTTGGTTGCCGTGGGAGAAGAATGTGTTAGAAGAGACATAGTGGAAGAAATACCAATTAGGAAGCTGTTGGCAAGTGACCATGTGGGACTGTTGGATCAAAGTTGGTTTGGATTAAGGCATTGCCGAAGCCAGAGAGAATTGGATGGCTGCTTTGAAGAGACATGTTGGAAGGAGGAATTATAAAAAGCAGTAGTACAAAAACATTGATCTCCCTGTGACCTTTTTTGCCAGCTGAAGTCAATTAGTGGTGTTTAAACACTTGTCAGTTGGCACTCAAAATGTTCTCTTCAGCCACTTTCATAGAACAGTAAGAGGTATCCTAAGTGGAACAAAGATCTCCCCCTTAGAGTTTCTTGGGAGGGTTGAGTAAGTATACTAGTCACTCCTTTTAACTTTAATCACAGGCTAGGGTGGATTATTTTAATACGCTGCTGGCATAAAGTAAATTGTACTTTTTGCCCCTCTTAGAATCTGGACACACAATCTCCTCTGAGACCCCCAGAAAAGCTAAAGGGGAGCCCCTTGTTTTTTCCTACCTCCACTCCAATCAACACTAAGATGAGGAAACACGGTTAATTGTCCAAACCTTTTCAATTTAATGTCTCAGAATATCTACCTAATTGCTCAAGTTAAAATGTATATCATTTATAGCTAGGTGATAAAATCTCTGTCTGAACGATGGCATTAGCTTAGGAACATTACATTGCCCTGCTGTCTTTGTGTCTGCAGTTATGTCGGTAAAGGTAGCCATAGTTACACAAGAGGAAAACAGTGCCGTGTTCCCAGAAAACATCATGTTCAGAACTGTGTTTTGCTCCTAGGCTCCTAGGTTCCTAGTTTGGCTTCTCTAACTAGCCTTTCCCACAATTAGGACCTGTTCTGCCTCCAGATAATCACATTCCTCACTTTTTACTTTAAATGTCTCCATTTCAGAAAGGCTGTCCTGATCAGCCAATCTAAAGTAGACTGCCCTTTCTTTCCTCCAGCTGTTTCAATCATCTAACACATAGAAACAGCTGTGCTTGTCTTAATCATTTTCATCATTGAGAACTGTCGCACTAGTGACTGGTGTTGAGTATTTGTTGAAGGATGACCACTCATCATTCTTGCTTTCTCTTTGCAGCTATGAAAGGACAGTGGGTAACGTAACTCCATCAGCACAGATGGTTCAGAGGTCCTTCTCTTCTCCAGAAGATTATCAGCGGCAAGCAGTAGTAAGTTTTTCCTTTTCCCAGTTGAGTTGCTAAGACAAAGTCATACTTGGGTTAAAGTATTTCTATTACATCAGATAACTTTTCACTTCTCAGTCAGTTTTATTACTTTATGTCCTTTAGGCATAAATTAACTGTTTTTATTTTCATTCTTAATACTGTGTCAAATATTTAGACTAACATGATCATTACAGTTTTAATAATTTAACATGTCTCTTCTAGATCAACTTACCTGAAGTGGTTTTTGTAATACCATGAGACCTACCCTAAAACTCAAATCAGCTGTGTTTTGATGTTTCTTTTCTTTTTTGAGACAGTCTCACTCTATAGACCAGGCTGCCCTTGAACTCACAGAGCTATACCTGCCTCTGCCTCCAGAGTGCTGGGTTTGAAGGTGTGGACCACTACGTACAGCTTTTGTTATCAACCCTTAACAGCTTCTAAGATGCAGGACCTATTCTGCTACTGTAGCTGTCTTTCTCAGAGCCCATTCTGGATTCTGCTGTGTGCTTCTTTCTCCCCTGAAATGGTTTCTGTTTGTTTTGTTTTTTTCGAGACAGGGTTTCTCTGTGTAGTTTTAGTTTCTGCCCTAGATCTCACTCTGTAGACCAGGCTGGCCTTGAACTCACAGAGATCCGCCTGGCTTTGCCTCCGAGTGCTGGGATTAAAGGCGTGGGCCACCAATGCCAAGCAAAATGGTCTCTTTTTGATCAGTTTCTTAGCACTCAGATTGTATGCCACCTTCACAAAGATTTTCCTAGTGAGGGTCTAGTTCTTCATGTGTTCTTACAGTGATTCATAATATGGTCATATTGAGTGATGTCTTTCTTTTATATTCTTGGAAGCAAGTAGTATTTTTTGTTCAAGTATCTGTAAGTAGACACTCAAGATGAATGAAACTTTGGTATTGGGCCACATTTAATTACATTTAGTTTGGGATGCATCTGGGCAAGGGTGATTTTGATTTTCCTTTATTCTATGTATCATTGACTGACTAAATGATACATTGGCTTTGCTGTTAAGAAGTCCTTGCAGTTAACATTTTTTTTTTCTTCCCTCAGATGAACAATGTTTTCAGACAGATGTCATATTTTGGTTCTCCACATGCAGATCAGTCGGGATTTTCGCCATCAGGTCAATCACACGCTCATACCTTTAACCAGTCTTCCAGCTCCCAGTGGCGCCAAGATGCACTGTCATTACAGCGTAAAAGACAGAATTCTCACCCCTACCTAGGAGATAGACACTATAGCCGTGAGCAGCGTTACTCCGATCATGGGTCTGACTATCATTACAGAGGAGGCCGAGAGGATTTCTACTATGACGACAGGAATCATAATGGCTGGAGCCATGACTATGATAACAGAAGAGACAGTAGTAGAGGTGGGAAATGGCCCTCATCTCGACACTAACAAGCATTCCAAGGACATTGTTTACAGGGCCATTTTAGGCCCTTTTAATTAAGTCATTCTGGAAGTATTTCTAAAAACTGTACGGAGTAGCCCCACAATTCTCCACCTGTCTTTGAAAAAAAAAAAATTTTGAACCCAGCAGCAGTTTCATAGAGAACTGGGAACCGTGGCTCCACATTTGTTACTTCAGTTACCTTCCCTCGGGGTTTCAGAAGAGGAAGGCTTTTATACAAGAGAGTGGGCCACCATTCCAGTCATTTCAGCCGAGGAAAGATGAACTGTATAGATTGGTTGATTATAAAGCAAATATTTCAGTTATCTCACCCTTTTGTGTTGCAGGAAATTTCTTGGTAATGAAATCATTTTGCTGTATATAGTAGGAAACATCCAAGTTGGTAGTCTGAAATGGCTATCTGCATTTTATTAATAAATGAGAAAATAGGACTTCTCAGTGATCGTTTTATTAACAGTTTATTTAAAACAGTTTATTGGTTTTGTTTGGGAATAAATCATATTTTCTAACTCAGAATTTAAGTACAAATTCTGTGGTATGCTCTTGAATTTTATCACAATTAAACATACATTATAAATCTATACTAGTTCATTCTAAGAACTTTAAAATTGTCTCATTAAATTATATTTGATGTATGACTAGTCACTCAGGAAGTTAAATATCTACATGTATATTTTTACATAAAAAGACAGTGTTGATGAAAATTCTTAGAGGAACAACAAGTTAATACATAGATAAAATGGCAAAATGTGGGATTATAATTTTGGAATTTTGTTTAACAAAACTTTCATGTTTCAAGATCCTGTTGCTCATTCACTGCAAGTCATTTTTACGAATTTATCTGTGAGAAATGTGGATCCTCTTTATACCACAGCATTTATACTATGTTCCTTTTTTAATATATTAAATACATAAAAAGAGAACGTGTCTCTTTATTTTGGCATCACTGACGTCAGAGGCTATCCAGTAAGTTAGCAGTGTGCTTTGAATCATGTCGGTTCACACTTCGGTTGGTAAAGATTGTCCATCTTGCAGCATCTTCTGTAGATTTGCTTTGATGCCTGGCTAGACTTTTATTACTTGGATTGTGGTGTAGAGCACTGTGAGCATGAGTTCCTTTGTCTGCTTTCTACACCCAGATGTTGTGATGTCCAGGCTCTGTGTCCTCACTTGGCATAGGTTAAGGTTTTGTTTGTTTGTTTAAAGAAATGGTTTGCTTAAGCATTTTATTTCCAATAAGCCTGATATCTCTAAGTCTCTCCATGGAAACTTTATACTTTATTGCACTTTAGCTGGGACTGTCATGTCAGTCCACAGGTCACCAGAAATAGTCTCGGCTTAACGGCTTTTGGGGGCAAGCCTTGGGAGAGCCAGTGACTGTTTCCCTTCAGTTTGACCCAGTTGAACCAGTAAACTAAATATCTGTACTTTGTAAACAGTCAGTTCGAGATAGCCTCAGAAATCAATATAGACAACAGTTGAAAGCTCCATTACTATAACCTAGGAACCTCTCCTTTATAACAAATTAATAATACTTTATGTCTAGGGTGTACCCTAAAATCTTAGGAGTGGGGTATTGGTGTCAGTATTCTTAAAAATAATGTGTAGCAGAGTCGGGGAAACTAAGCCATAGCGTTCCTGTTTAATTCCCGGTGGTTTTTTTTTTTTTTAAGTCAATGGATGGTCTGTATCTTTCACAATAAAATTAGCATAGCAGAACTAAGTGATGTAGAAGGAGAGATTTATTGTAGGGATGCAAACTAACACAGTTTTGATTTCGGATGTACTAATGTGCTGGCCAACAGTTTGGTGTTGGGTCTGAAGTCACCATGGGTCAGTCAGACTGTTAGTTGATTGACAACTGAAGAGCAGCACTGACCAGGAAGGAACTGGAAAAGGCTAAGAACTAACTTGAGCTTCCCTCTGTCTCATTCTTAGCTACAGAATTATCTCTGCAGTTCTTTGCCCCATGTAATAGGAGCTAGAAAATCAAAGACTTAACTGCCCATGCAGAGCTAAGCCAATCAGTAAGCGATGCATAAAGTGCCACAATGCCCATTATCCTGCAGTATCTTCTAGATTCTAAGCCATGCCTGCTGCTGCTTCCCTGTTATTTTAGTTACCTTTTTTGTAGCTGTGGCAAAATGACAGAAATGGAGGAGGAATTGTGTGTGTGTGTGTGTGTACATTTCTAGAGAAATTTTCATATGCCATAGAATAGAAGGCATAGCCAATCAGGCAACTTGTTATTTTTTGTTGGTCTGTAGGAGGCATGGTAGAATGGGTCCATAGCAGTAGAAGTATATGGCAGCTCCTTGTTCACTTCATGACCATAGGGCCAAGAAGTAACTCATTTAGGAGAAAACATAGGAACCACACTTCTTTTCTCTCAGCAAGGGCACTCTGAGGACTGCTGCTTTGGGGTCCCTACCCTACCTGGCCATTTTCTATCTCCTGTTCTCTAGACGGTTCTGTTTGGTCAACATAGATATTCTAAGAGTAACTTCCTAGAGTTGAGCCAAAGTTCTAGTAAAGACTCAGTGTTCTTGAGACCACCCTCAATTCAGATAGGAGCTGGGAGAGCACAAACTCCCAGGCCACCCATAGGTCTGACCAATTGGCTACAAAGTTTAGGGGTTTCCATTATACCTTAAGTGTTGATAGTTTACAACAAAGACTCACCGGGACTTCAGGAAAGAACTATACACAATGATACAGTTTTGCTATAGCAGAAAGGAGAAAATGAAAGCTAGTCCCAAAAGGAGATGTACAGGAAAAGAACAGGGAAGTTCTCAGAAGCAAAGTTTCCATGTTTTCTCCCCTCAGCCTCAGGTTGGATCACCTTCCTAGCAAAGCAAAGCATCATGGTTGGCCAGGAAACATCTGAACTTTACTCTTTAACAACTGTCATCTCTCTAGCCCGTACCCTATTATGAAAATACTAGAAATGGGCTGTGGTGGCGCACGCCTTTAGTCCCAGCACTCTGGGGGGCAGAGGCAGGCAGACCTCTGTGAGTTTGAGGCCAGCCTGGGCTACAGAGTGAATTCCAGGAAAGGCTCCAAAGCTACACAGAGAAACCCTGTCGAGAAAGAGAGAGAGAGAGAGAGAGAGAGAGAGAGAGAGAGAGAGAGAGAGAGAGAGAGAGAGAGAGAGAGAGAGAGAACACCTGGGTTAGGGAGTTGACAGGGAAAAGGAAGATACTGCTTAAAGGATATTCTGTAATTTTGTTCCCCATTGCTGTGATAAGATACTTGGACAAAAGTAACTTCAAGGAGAAAGGTTTTATTTTAGCTTACAGTTCCAGGTTACAGTTCATCATTGTAAAGAAGTCAGGGCAGCAAGAACTTGGAGCAGTCATGTTATATTCACAGTTAAGAGCAGGGAGCCATGAATTAATGCATTTCTCTGCTCTTATACAGACCAGAATTTCTTGCCACAGTGGGCAGATCTTTCCACTTCATGTAATCAAGATAATCTACTAAAAACATGTCCGTGGTGTAGGTTATTTTAAGGTGTGTTACTTTTGTTTACGTTGCATTTGTTTAACTCTGTGAAACTGTGTTACTTTGCCTGTCTAAAACACCTGATGGTCTAATAAAGCACTGAATAGTCAATAGTGAGTCAGGAGAAAGGAGAAAGGGGCTGGCAGGCAGAGAGAATATATAGAGGGAGAAAACTGGAAAAAGATTCAAGAAGTAACCAGAGAAGGAGGAAGACATCAGGGGCCAGCTACACAAAAGCCATGGAGTAAGAAATAATGAAAGGCATACAGAAATGGAGATAGGTAAAAGCCCAAAGGCAAAAGGTGGGATAATTTAAGAAAAGCTGGCTAGAAACAAGTCAAGCTAAGGCCCGGCATTCATAATTAAGACTAAACCTCCGTATATGATTTATTTGGGAGCTGGGTGGTGGGCCCCCAAAAGAGCAAAACCAAACAACACCATCATGGCAAAACCAAACACCACCACCATGGGCTATCCTGATCTAGACAGTTCTTCATTAAGATTTTCTTCTGAGGTGGTGCACGCCTTTAATCCCAGCACTGGGAGGCAGAGGCAGATGGATCCCAGTGAGTGTGAGGCCAGCCTGGTTCCAGGACAGCCAGGACTGTTATACAGAGAAACCCTGTCTGGGAAACAAAACAAAACAAAACAAGATTTCTTTCTGAGGTGATTCTAGATTGTGTCAAGTTGACAAAACTAAACAGCGGACTAGAGAGATGGCAGTTATTAGAGAGTATGTGCTTCTCTTCCAGAGGACCAGAGTTTGGTTCTTAGCTCCTGACTGGGCAGCTCACAGCCATCTGTAACTCCAGCGCCTGGGGATTTGACAGCCTCTTCTGGCCTCTGTGGGTACCCACATGCATTTGGCACACACATACATATACATTAAAAAAAAAAATCTTAAAACCGCCCCCCCCCCCCCCCCCCCCCCCCCCCGCCCCAACCAGACCCTAACCATTACAGGGCAGGAAGTTTCAGTTAGAGGGATAAGTCTTACTGATCTCTTGCCTAGTGTGATGAGTATCATTAACGTGTATTTCAAAAGTTTTTCATTACAAATAAATAGTATTTGAGGTGAAGGTGGTGGATTTGCTAGTTATCCCTATTAGATCAACCTATAATATAGCAAAATACATATAGCAAAACACAATACTGCACATAAATACATTCTATTTGCCAAAAACAAAGCGTAAAAAATAAATTATTCCTTCTCTTTTGTTTCTTAAATGTCTGAACAGTTACACAATTTTTTTTTTTTTTTTTTTTTTTTTGGTTTTTCGAGACAGGGTTTCTCTGTGTAGCTTTGCGCCTTTCCTGGGACTCACTTGGTAGCCCAGGCTGGCCTCGAACTCACAGAGATCCGCCTGGCTCTGCCTCCCGAGTGCTGGGATTAAAGGCGTGCGCCACCACCGCCCGGCCAGTTACACAATTTTTGAGGTTTCATTATGATCTAAGTTTTGCTGTTTGCCATAGTTCAATGCTCTTTATATCTTGTGTCTTTAATTATATAATAATCAATTTTTCCCTCAGCTTTTGACACTAAAACCAAAACAAGTTTTATCATACTACTTTTTAATGACGTTACACAGATATACTTAATTTTTAAATTTTCATATCACTAAGGAGAAACAACTGGTTGGCAAATATAAAATCATCCTGTCATATTTAGCTTGAGTGTTGGTATATTAATATATAAATGTGAATTCCTTTTTTAGAAACTAGCATTTATTGAACTGTTACTGCATGCTAAGCCACTTTCAACAGTTTTATAGGAGAGAAAGTTCATACCTTCCCAAAGATTATATAATGAGTGGAGCCCAATTCATAGCTAATAAGTCTTAATTCTAGAAACTAGCTTTTTGTTTCCACACCTACTTTAATTAGGTGTGACAGCATAAGGAAGATGTAGTTTCTAACAAGTCTTGAGACTGAGAAGTCCTGCCAGCCAGCTCCTAAATAATGACACAGAGACTTATTATTAATTATGAAAGCTCAGCCTATATCTTAGGCTTGTTCTTAACTAGCTCTTATAACTTAAATTAACCCATTTTTATTAATCTACATCCTGCCACGTGTCTTGCTTACCTCTTTTTCACTCTGTAACTCCGACTTGTTCTTCGTCTCCTTTCTTCTCCCTGGCACCTATCTGGCATAATCTGTGTGCCTAGATTCCTCCTCCTCTCCTCTCTCCCCAGAAATCCTGCCTATCTCTCCTGCCTAGCTATTGACCACTCAGCTCTTTATTAAACCAATCACAGCAACACATCTTCACACAGTACAAAAAAAAATATTCCACAACAGTAGTTATTATGGCTTGATATTTGAAACTTGTTTCTCTTATATAACCCAGGCTGTCCTTGAACCCTATATGGCCACGAATGGCCTTGAACTCAAGATTCTCCTGCCTCCATTTCCCAAGAGCTGAAATTACAAGTGAGAGCCACCAGTCCTGGTTTACTTTTGTAAAATAAGAAATTGTAGTCCAGCAAGATGATTCAGTGGGTAAAAGCACTCACTTCATAAGCCCTATGAGCTCAGTTCAATTCCCTAGCAGCCACATAAAAACTGAGATGTGTTGCAGGATGCACACCTTCAATTCCAGCACTCTGGAGGCAGAGGCAGCTGGATCTCTGTGAGTTTGAGACCAGCCTGGTCTACAGGACAGCCAGGGCTACACAGAGAAACCCTGTCTCAAAACCAACCCCCCCGGGGGTGGGGGGGCTGGATGTGGTGGCACCAATCTATAATCCTGGCATTCCTTCAGTGAAATGGGAGGCAGAGACAGGTGAGTTGCCTGAAGGATCAAAGGTCAGCTTGCCTGGACTATATAGCAAGGTAGAAACAGTAAGACTGTGCCTCTAAGCAAGGTGGAAGGAGAGAACTGACTCTTGAAAATTGTCCTCTGACTTTCAGAAGCCATGGCATACCCTTGGACCCCCCACACCCTAACACATATTGTATATACAAACAGTAACAACAAAAACCAATAAATAAAAAATTTGAGGTTGTTTGATTCTGTAATTTCAATAATAGAAAAGGTGGTAGGGATCTATCTACTTATGCAAGTATTATAGTTTGAGTCCCAATAAATGAAATGCAAAATTGGAGTCATTGTAATATTTTTGTTAATCTGCTTTCCATATACAAAGATGTATTGATATTCCATTTTAAAATATGACTACTTGTGTTCTTTTTAAAGTTTCTAATCCTTTAGAACAAAGAATATACTTGCATGGTTCCAAACCAAAAAAAAAAAAAAATGTGTATGTTGAGAAATATCACCCCCACTCTTGCGTCTTCTAACCTGCTCCTTAACATTTTCCAGCAAGTAATCCGTTTGTTAGTGGAGTGGCATTCCAGTATCTCTGTGTTCTCATTTTTCCTCTCTCATTGCATTTGGTCATTTTTATGCTTAACAGTATAATCCAGATGTCTTGAGTTGTGATTATTTGAAAGCAATTTTTGGGTATCTGGTAAAGAATGCCCTTCAGCAAATTTGCATAATTAAAACATCTTTACATGCCTTATTGTCTTGCTTTATTTTGATATCAGTGTACATTATACTTTCCTTTAGAAAAACCATAAGTGGAATATTCTCAAATGTTATTAATATTTCTTTACTTGAGAAGTGAGAGTGAGCTAGCTCCTGGTGACAAGGACAAAGGCTTCCCCCGATTGTTCCATTATCTTGGTAATAGCCCATTTCACAGATGGGAAAGTAGTCACTCCTTACCTATCAAAGAAACAGCTCTAGATCAAAAATAAAGCACCCTACTTTTAGAAGTGAAAAACTACCTTAGATTCACCAGTCTCTTACTTCCTGAGTGTGGATGAGCTCCTGATGCCAGGACCTCCCTGCCATGAAGGGCTGTATTACCACTGAACTGTGAGCTGATGTACTCTGCCCCCCCCCCCAAGCCCCCAAAGCAAACAAATACACAGACCTCCGCTTTAATATGTTGAGTATTTATTGTGTCTGGTATAATGAACATCAACTAGCTTTGTAAGTGGATTCTTTGGCATTTCATTGGCTTTCCATTAGAGTAACAAAGTACCATCGATAATCAACTGAGGAAAAGAATGGTTTGCTTTGGCACACGGTTTAGAGGTTTAAGTTCATGGTCATGTGGAGCACTGCTTTGGGGTCTGTGGTAGGGTGGTGCCTGTTCCTAGTGTGCATGCAGCGGAGCTGAGCGTCCCAGCTCCTGACTGAGATGAAACAGAGCAGGAGGGAGGAGTGGAGGTCTCACTATTCCCTTCAAGGCCATGCTTCCAATGACTGGAAGGCCTACCATGAGGTCCCACCTTTCAGAATTTTCACAAGCTCTGAACACCATGCTGGACTGAGCCTTTAACACTCTGGCCTTTGACAGACTTCCAGATTCAAATCCCAACAGCTTTGTAGTCCAGTGTTCCATACATGCTAAGTACTTGGTATGTGTTTTTAAACTGAAGTGACATAAAATGTACTTCAGACTTAATAAAAAAGAATGGCCATTGTATATAAGATGCACTCAGCTCATTTTATTTTTAATAATGGATGTGGGGGAGATACAAATTAAAAAAAATCATTTCTGGAGCCAAACATGTTACCTCATAACTGTAATCCCTGAATTTGGGAGGCAGAAAGACTGCCATAAGTTTGAGATCAGCCTAGACTATATGATGAGTGAGACCCTGTTTCAAACAAAGAAAAATAAAACAGATAGACAAAACTCCAACTGTTTCTGTAGCAGAAAACAAGGACAGTACATGCAATTTATGGGCCACATCCCCTTTCCCCCAGGAAAGGACCTGTCTCGGCTAAATTTACAATATTCTAGCCTTTGTCACATGGCTTTCTACAAACTCAAAAGATGGCCATAGACACGGTGTGGAAGAAATTAGCACACCGACCCACTGTGCCTAGTTTGGCAAAACTGTGTATAAATCCAAATCTACTTTTCCTTTACCATTTTCTGTTTTATAATTTCTTTAGAATTTTGGGAACATTAGTGTTTTATTCATGGTAACAACACGAAATCTGTACTTATCATTGTATCAGGAACATAGTACTATAGCTGAATAAACATGGAAGTTTCCAAAAAGCCCACACATCATTTCTGTTTATTTTTGAGACAGAGTTTCCTGTGGCCTATTTACATAACTAATTTTAAGCATTCATTTTCCAAAAAAAAAAAAAAAACCCAAAAACCATTGGCATGGCTTTTTGGGATAAAACCTGTTAAATACCATCACCAAAAGATGTAATTTTTAAATATCTATTTTATCTGTGCCCCCCTCCCCCCTCTCTCCCTCTCCCTCCCTCCCTCCCTCTCTCTCTTTCTCTCTCTCTGTGTTTACGGGTGCCCATGAAGGTCTGAAGGGGACAACACATCCCACAGAGCTGGGGTTACTTCCTCTGCATGAGCAGCAAGTATTTTTAACTTTTGGGCTATTTCTCCACCCTAAAGATGTGGAAAACAGAAGGTATTCTTTCAAAATGTAAAGAAATAATACTTCAGAGTGATAATAAGCCCAGCTGATAGAAGTTTCTATATGTGCACCATGCTGGTGCACATCTTTAATACTAGCACTTGGGAGGCATCGTTCCAGGCCACCTAGAATTCTGTAATGAGTCTCTGTCTCAACAAAACAAAACAAACAAACAAACAAAAACAACATACAAACAAACCAAGTTTCTATAATGCCAATGGAGTTCTCCTTCCAATGATTAGGGCCGAAAGTGATTACAAACTAAAAACAGTATGATTCATTAGGCAATGCTGTTATAATATACGTATCTATTCTGCGGTAAAATTGAACATACACTGTCACACGTTTCCAAGATCTTTCAGTTTCTCTGGTCAAGCTTGGCAGGTTAAGTGGCTGAAATCCACCAGTTTGCAGCATCCCTAAAGCTCTGATTGGGCAACAATGTTTGTCTCACAAAACCAGCTCACCGGGTAGGAATTACTGTGCTACCAACCACAAGCTCTGTAATTAATGGCAACACGGCTTTCAGAAAAAGACACAGGAGTATGTGATTCAAGACTGAGCACGTATGTGATAAAACTACCCTTTGCAGAGGCGTTTGCTACTAAGCTAAAACGTAAGCGATCCCCACAGAGGCCCCTTCCAGAGGCGGTGATGAAAACCGCAGCTATTTAGTGGGAGATTAAGGACCCTTTGCTCAAAACCAGAATGGATGACAGAATCAGAGTGGACGACAGAACAGGCAGAACTATTTCAGTTCGCTTTAGTCGGCTGCAAAAATTATACAAGGACATGATTTAACTTTAAGAAGTTTTAAAGGTAAAGTAGTATAAGATCTAACAACCGAAACACAGCCCACACGTTCCGGCAACCTGGAATATGAGACAAGGCTTCTACCAAGGACGGGAAAGGAACATTTATGGAACACCTGATATGTGCGAAGTCATCTTTCAGACAAGAGCCCATTTAAGGACTTCTAAACGATGATGGCGGATTTGGCCTTGTAGCTCAAAATAGCACGTCATTCTCGGATTCCAAGTAAATAAGAAATATACTCAATACGTGGAAGGGAGGGGCAGGTAAAAAAAAAGAGGGGGGTATTAGTAAGGGAAAGATACATTTTAAAAATTCTTAAACAATCAGATTCTTTTTCGAAGTTAAACCTTTTCAAGTCCGCTGCTCAGAACTAATAAAAACTCAGGAGTGATACCTCCTGGAAACAGACAAACTTTAGCAATGGAATACAAGCCAGTCCCGTAACATCGGAAAACACGTGGCGGGGGAGGGGGAGCTGGCGGCTGGACCAGGGACTCCCGCTCCCACCAGCCCTTTCGGCAGCCAAGCGTGGCTGTGGAGGGCGAGTCGGCGCGCGGCATGTTGGGGCTTGTAGTCTTCTCCCGGCACCTCCCAGTGGGTTTGCGACGTTTAGCGACTGTGGCGCCTGCGCGCGCTGGGCCGGCGGGGCTGGGGCCGTGGCGGCTCGTGCCGGGTGATGCTAGGCGTATCCCTGGGCTCCAGGCTGTTGCGGGGCGTGGGTGGCAGGCACGGGCAGTTCGGGGCGCGAGGTGTTAGCGAAGGTGGCGCAGCCATGGCGGCAGGGGAGAGCATGGCTCAGCGGATGGTCTGGGTGGACCTGGAGGTGAGAGTCCGGCGGGGGGTGCGGGGAGGCGAGCCTGGGACCGAAGGACCCACCTGTTCTGGGAGGCGGCGGGGGTCCGGGTGTCAGGTGCGGCAGGTGAGCACAGCCCCGGGAGCCCGAGCCAGGAGTTCTGCGTGGTTCTGGGACTGTGTTGGACTGTGGGGTTTCTTTCCATCTGGGTGGAGCCATCCATGTGTCTTCCCTCTCCGCAGCCTCGACCTCCACCCAGATGTGAATTTGCCTAACCCTCTAGTGTCTCTGGGCTCAGGATCAAGGGTGGGGGTGGGGACAGCGCCTCTGAGCGCCCCCCCTCCCCGCCCCCACCTCCTAGCCTTAAAAGACTAGGTTGCTTAAACTAGTTGGGACTCAGGAGATGACTCAGCCTTACCCCTCATTCCATAAAAGAGAAAATTGAGGCCCCAGTTGAAGATTCAAGTTACTCAAAGTGCACTGGGAACAGAACCCTTTTTAGTTTTAACGCATTCATACTTAGGCCTGCCCCGAGCCTCAGTTTTTTCCTTATGAAAAGAGTTTAGTTGTTAACTTTTTACCCTAGATTATGATAAAGATCAGATGTTGGAACAAATTGGAAGCCTTTACAAACTTCAGATAGGTAATATTAGTGAGTTCACTTTTCTGTAACTAAGTGTTGTATTTATCTTGTTTACTTTGCATCTGTTCCCAGGACAGACACAGAATTTGGCATTAGCTAGCCCACAGTAAATGTCTGTTGCAGTCTCTGAGCGCTCAGAACTTATTATAAATCCCGAGTACTTCCCAGGAAAGAAACAGCATTACTGATCCTAGAATGTAATCCGAGTATGCACAAAGGAATCTATATAAACTTGGGCAGAAGAGGTTTACAAAAGATGGTTTCATGTGTTATATATATGCTCATTTAAAAAAAATTATTTTTATTTTTATTTTTTATTTTGCAGATGACAGGATTGGATATTGAGAAGGATCAGATTATTGAGATGGCCTGTCTGATAACTGACTCTGATCTTAACATTTTGGCTGAAGTAGGTGATGCCACGTAAATACATTCATACCACTTAAAGGGCATGGGGAATCTAAAGATGGCTTCTTCCACTCCAATTGAAAAATTTAGTGGCTTGAGGTCCATGTAGATTAAGGTCCACCATAATATGCTAGGATGTGTTAGAGTTGGTACTCAAACCAACATTGAGGTAGAAACAATTAGGAGGTGGAACTGAATTGACTTTTCAATTGAAATTTATAGAAACAAAGCTGACTGTTTTTCTGAGGGGTAAATAGTCCTGACGGCTTTACATGTGTTGGTTCTTATGACCATAAAGTTGGTTCTGTTAATAGTGCTTATTTTACATCTGAAGACATTGGGCTACAGAAATTTGGCGAATTTGGTTAGGTATTGGGGAAGCTGGTTAAAGGACTCTCTAGATCCAGGCAGTCTGAAGTGCTCCTAACCAGTAGTCCAGCCAGTTTTGGTCCTATCAGGTGTGGTGACCTATACCAGAGTTTTCCATCTTTATTTCATAACTTTGACTTTAATTCCATATATAGTTATCCCTTCACCACCCCATAGGGGATTAGTTCCAGGATTCCTCTGTAGGGACCAAAATTTCATGTGCCTACATCCTTTACCTAGTGAGTACTTGGAATTACTTCTAGATTGCCTGTGGTCATTCTTCCTGTAGAATACCCAATGCAGTGTCAGTGCATGTAAGTATTTTTTATACCGGGAATGGTAAGAAAAAAAAAAAAATCCATGTATGTTCCTTACAGACAGATGAGGGTCGGTCTGAGTTGGTTGCATCCTCACAGACAATACCTATTGTTCCAGATGGCTGATTGCCTTTTCAGCTGGGTGTGTGCTTCCTGCACGTCTGTGTTAGGGTCCAAGACCGTCGACTGATACTCTTCTAGACTGTGTTCTCTTAGCTTTAATAAAAATTTTGATCATGCTGCTTTTAACTGAAACATTTAGCAAAACAAGTAAAACACACCTGTTGGCGTTTGCATTTTAGCCACTCGTGAAGCATTTTAAAAGCTTGTGGTATCTTTGATTCATAGATGAAATCCCTGATCATGATATGGTCCTCAATATTTGAAGTAATTAAAAAACAAAGCAGCCTAGGCATAGTGGCTCATACCTTTAATCCCAGGGCTTGGGAGACAATGGCAGGTGGATCTCTGTGAGTTGAGACCAGCCTAGTCTGTATGGCTGGTTCCAGGCCAGCCAAGGCTATATAGTGGGGCTGGAGAGGTGGCTCAGTAGTTAAAACATGTACTACTCAATCGTGAAGAGTTTGCGTCCCAGTCCCCTACCTCTATCAGGTGTCTCACAAGCACCCAGATCTCCAGCTCTAAAGGATTTGATGGCCCTCTTCTGACCTCTATGGGTACCCCCACCAGACACCTACATATAGGAATAAAATCAGCAACAAACAAAAAACCAGCAAATCCCATAGGGATGCTGTGCAAAGGGGAGTCTTGTTAATAACGAGTTCTAAGAGGGTAGACTTGATAAACACAGAAGCTGTAGACATCTCCTAAGCCTACAGTTAGGACTTCTTTTTATTCCCTGGGTAGGCAGAGGAGATAAGGCATTTTCAGCTGGGCATGATATCACACACCTTTACTCTTGGCACTTTGGAAGGCAGAAGCAGGCCAATCTCTGTGAGCTTGAGGTCAGGCTGGTCTACAGAGTGAGTTCCAGGTCAGCCAAGGCTACACAGTGAGACTGTCTCAAAACAGCGACGACACCAGCAAAACTTAAAAACAAAAAAGAACAACAAAGGACATTTAGAGATGAATCCCTGTCTTGTCGTGGCATCAGACTTATCTAGAAGAGAACTAGAGATTATTTCTTATAACAACTTCTTTAAAACCTGTAAATAAATAAATCAAGCACCGAGCTTTAGGTTTGCTTGCTTATTTTTCTGACTTGGAACTTACTGGCAATAAACAGTCAAGTGTCTTTATTTTACCAGCTCTGCTTACCCTTGGCCAAAGAAGTATTTTTCTTTTAGCCTCTTGACGACCCAAAATACGGTTTTAATGGATCAGTTGGTTGATATGTACCCAGGGGAACTTCGGGTGTGCGTCCATACAGTTGCTCGTGAATGGGGGATTTGTTCGAAGGCTTAAGTCAATTGGCAAAGAAAACACTTAAGGGATGTCAGTTGTGTGGAAAGTATGTTTTGTTCTCATGCAAGGGTCTGAGGAACGTGTTTTTGTTTGTTTGTTTGTTTTGTTTTTTTTTTTTGCTGGTAGAAGCACCCTGTTTTGCAAACTTAATTTGGATGTCTTAGTTTGCCAAGGAGCAGTCTAGAAGAGGTCAGTAGATTTACAGTATGTCTTTTCTGTTCCCCAGTTTTTTTAAACTGTTTTTTTTTTTTTTAATTTCTCCACTGAGATTGTCAACATCTGTTTCTGTATTTGGTTACAATTCAGTTTTAGATGGCAGGCCTATTTTAGTACAGTTCTAGACTAGCTGTTGAGTTTAAGCTATAGGGGCTCAGTGGGGCCTTTGCTTGCTGCCAATTCTGATGACCTGAGTTCAATCCTTAGGAGCCACAGGACCAACACTTGTCTTCTGACTTACACACGCGCACGCGAACACACCTCCCCTGCCCCCCCCCCAACACAGACAGAGAGAGACAGAGAGAGGAATGTGTTGCACTTACATTCTTGCATACACATAAATAAATGATATAATTTTTTAAAAAGGATTTAAGCTGTGCTGATTAAACTTGAATTCCGCCGGGTGGTGGTGGCGCACGCCTTTAATCCCAGCACTCGGGAGGCAGAGCCAGGAGGATCTCTATGAGTTTGAGGCCAGCCTGGACTACCAAGTGAGTTCCAGGAAAGGCGCAAAGCTACACAGAGAAACCCTGTCTCGAAAAATAAAAAAAAAAAAAAAAAAAAAAAAAACTTGAATTCCTTTCAGTGACTGAAATCTCTTTACCACCTTACTAGTCATAATTGCTTGCATTAAGTAGTAGATAGTCTTCTGCAGAGAGTTTACATCAGTTGCCTATAATTTCTTGCATTCTGTTAGGGCCTGATGAGGAAAGCTAGACTTTCTTATGATCTTTGTCTTTTGAGGAGAAACAAATGTGATAAGCTTAGTTCTACTTGTTAGGCTCCCTGACAGACTCTATTACCTGGACTGGAGGGCTGGCAAGCTGGTTCAGTGGGTAAAGGGGCTTGAGGCCAAGACTGATGACCTGAATTTGATCTCAGAACCCAACTGGTAGAACTGACTCCCACAAGTTGTTCTTTGACTTCCACAATCACGGTGTGTTAGGAGTATGTGTGCACGCACGCGCAGATAAAATTTAAGGACCAGAGAGATAGCTCAGCAGTTAAAGTAGTGTACTGCTCTTAAAAGGGACCGGAGTTCAGTTCTCAGCACCCATGTTGGGCAGCTCACAGCTGCTTGTAACTCCAGCTCCAGGGGTGCTGTGCTCTCCGGCCTCCCAAGGATACGAGCATACATGTACACAGGCACACAAGCATATACATAACCAAAACTAAATTTTTAAAGGTTTTCTTAATTTAAAGAAATTTGTGAATGGAACTGAGAATTTGAGGGCCATTTTTTTCTTTATATATTATTAGTTATTTCTTTAAAAACGTTAGTTTTTTTAAATATAAAGCTAAAACTACAGAATATAACTTTATTCACAGTACACATATAGCAAGCTGTTGTTTATTTGATCCTTTTCCTCAGTCCTAGCCGCTCCAAAGTATGCAGATATCAACGTGTATTTCAGAAGGAAAAGATGTTGTTGGAGTAACAGCTTAGTCGTCGGTAAAGTGCTCACTGTGTACGCAGACCACCCTGAGTTAGATCTTCACCCCTATGTCAGGTGGTGGTGTGCATCTGTAATCCCAGCTGCAGGGAGGTGGAAAGAGGTGGCTCTTTGGGGACTTGCTAGCTAGCCTACTTAATTGGCAAGCCTTAGGTCCCTAGGTGGATGACTCATGAGGAACAACACCCAAGGCTGACCTCTGACCTCACATGCTTGTGCATATACGCCCCTCTCCCTAAATACACACATAAATAAATACAGTTTGAAAGTAGGGTTATTTCTGTTGATTCTTACATAGCTCTGGCTGGTTTAGAACTGACCTTGCAGACCCAGCTGGCCTCAGAGTCAAGGAGATCGGCATCCATCTCGGCCTCCCAAGTGCAGTGATTAAAGCTGTATGTATACACCATGCCCAGGTTCTTTTGATTTCCTTGATGACTAATGGCCTTTCCCACCCACAGGGTCCCAACCTGATTATCAAACAGCCGGATGAGTTGCTGGACAGCATGTCAGATTGGTGCAAGGAGCATCATGGGAAGGTAACATTACCAAATAACAAGATTGCTGCTTTGGGGATCGGTCACAAGCTTGTTGCTCGCACATCTGAATCCTGTGCCCTTGGTGGATGGTGTTATGAAAGGGTTAGCGGAAGATGGCTGGGCAAGCCTGGGCAGCTGCTTGCTTGTTCACTTTTCATCTTTGGGACCTCTCGAGATCACCTTCTCCTGAATGTCCTCTTTTTTTTTCTCTTCTACATTCAGTCTGTCGCGAACGCATTGTGGAATTTCAAGTGTTACTCAAGTCAGTCTTATGGATAAGGTTAGACCTCGACCCACAGAGAAGGGGGACTGCTGCTTTCCTGGTAGTAGCTGTCTCTTCCCAGAGGGTCTAGCCTTGGACTCTGAACGCCATCTTTTCTGACTGTGTGGAAGTGATATTAACAATCGGGAACATAACTTAATTTGGTTTGGATTCTTTAAGAAAGAAAATTGGTGTAAAGATGGTAGTTTCAGTTCAAACTTGAGCCCCTCCCCCCACAAAACTGGTCCAGCTGTGGTTATATTTACCGGTTTTAGAAGTGAAGTTTCATTTCGGATACGTTTGAAAACTGACTTCATGTGTTTCTGGTGGGGGCTGGGGATTCTCTCTTGCAGTCTGGTCTTACCAAGGCAGTGAAGGAGAGTACAATTACATTGCAGCAGGCAGAGTATGAATTTCTGTCCTTTGTACGACAGCAGACTCCTCCGGGGCTCTGTCCACTTGCAGGTAAAATCCAATCCTATGTCTATCTTGTAGATAGTCTTCTATAGTAATGGTTCAAGAAACCAGAGAGTTCCAGAGTTCCAGAGAAACCAGCTGAGACCATCCTTGCCTTCCACCCACCCTGATTTGGAGTACACGTCTCACTTTTGTGTATCAGTGAAATGGCTTGGAACTTGATCAGAGAAACACAGACGAACTCAGCAAAAATTCCCCCCATATTTTTATTATGGAAACAATTCCAAATGCACAGAAAAGTTGGATTTGGTCATCGTTAACCTTTGTCACGTTGGTTTCCCCTCTATTTTTCTTGCTGCTTTTGGACATTTGAAAATAAACTGCAGGCTTTGTGATACTTCCTTCCTAAAGTCCCCCTCAAGCAGCTCCTAAGAGTCAGGACGTTTTCTTATGTAACACAGTATTACTGTTGCATTGGAAATCATTAACATCATTTAAGAATATTCATGGTATCTTGCCCACATTTGAAATACCCTAAAGTGTCTGTTTTGAACCCAGATTTAGTCACTGCTCATATATATTTTATTTGGTTATTTCCTCTCTAGTTGGTTAGTCTAAAATCATTTACCTATCTCTCCCCACCCCTGCTCCATCCCTGAGACATTGACTTTAAAGAGACCAGGTCTATTACGCTAAGATTTTTAAAGGGTTGACATTGTCAGAGGGAAGGTAATGTTCTGTGAGGGTGTGTTTGCATTTGTGTATGTAAATTGGTATGGTAACTTAACACTTTCAATATAAAGAAATTATATATAAGAGCATATATTGTATAAATGGTTTTTTTTTTCTTAGCCGATGCGGCTGATGTCCATTTTAGAGTTCTCATTTAAAATCCAGTGTTTATAATATAAATTATTGTATGGAAACATGAATATGGATATGATTTGTCAAAAACATTGGAATGTAAAATAAAGGTTTATCTACTATATGATTCAGTTAAATTTTTAGTGTTAGTAGTGTGGATTTTGTGACACTGGGAACAAGTTTGCACATCTGGAATGAACTTGAAAAGTAACAGATTTAAACTCTTTAAGTGGATGGAAGGCTAGACGGTCGTTCTGCCCACGAGAGGCTGCTTACAAGTTTATTGTGAGCTAGACTGGTGACCTGCTGGAGAACCCATATTTATAACCTAATCCGAAGTTCTCGGATTTGATGGAGACATCAGTTTTTAGGAACTGTTTGAAAAAAAAAAGTTGACTACCATTTCAGATATGATCTATGAATGTTTATATCATGCTGTACGCTGTTAGAAATGCGCAGACGCGGTATGCTTCGTGTCTTTCTAGGGAATTCAGTTCATGCAGATAAGAAGTTTCTTGACAAATACATGCCCCAGTTCATGAAACATCTTCATTATAGGATAATTGATGTGAGCACTGTTAAAGAGCTGTGCAGGTAAGGGCTATATTTAGGATCCATTCTGTTGCCTCATGTAGCATGTTTTAATGGAGAATTTGTAGAAAATAATTGAATAGAATCAAGGGTGCTGAGTGGGTGTGTCTTCCTTGTCCCAGTCTCATTTGTCCAGGTCCTTATTTATTCTGAGTGATGAGGCGTGGGAGAAATGTCAGAAGTCTTCCACGTAGATTTCATTAAGCCAGAGAACCTGTGTGTTGGCCTACCCACTGGGAACATGGGCATGAAACGCTCTTGAGTAGCTCAGTCTAGTGAGTTGACAGAGGTGTAAAAAACGCCCTAAAATTAAACTGCCTAGTGACTCGTGTGATGGGGATGCAGGCAGAATATGAGGGGGCCAGGGAGAGCTCAGCGTGCTGGAGGAAAAGGGGGACTCAGAAAGCTTTATCTAGCACACAGCCCTTTCAGTGAGATTGAAAGAGGTTTGAATGAGGAGAGAACATTCCTGAATGCAGGCAGAGATAGGAGGATGCTAGGGAATTGGAAGCTGAGACAAAATAGGCACAGGGATGGTGGGATGTAGCAGAGGGGGAATGTTTGCCCAGCATGCAGGAAGTTCTGGCTTGTAGCCCCCAGCAGTGTATACACAGGATGTAGTAGTTCACATCTGTAACTCCAGCCCTGGGGAAGATGGAGGCAGGAGGATCAGGAAGCCAGCCTGGGCTACATGAGACCCTGTCTTAAAAAAAAAAAAAAGATGCACGTTAAAATAAATTGCAGATTATTTGTTAATGCTGAGGTGGAAAGCTTGAGATTGGCAAAGGGGAGACCAAGGCTGGACCACAAAGGGCTTGTGGACCTGCTCAAGATGTTTGATTTCATCCTATAAGGGATGCAGCTCCTTTGAGAAAGTGTTAATGGAAGGATGAGGACAAATTGTATTCCGCTTAGAAGGTGGCAGGTAAAGTGATAGAAAGACGTGTATCATCTCAGGGACTGCGAAACAAGGGAGGGAACTGGCCATTGGGTACTCGGAAGGGATAAAACATTCGCCGAGGTCAGCAAGCATGCTGCTAGATGCCTGGATGAGGGGGCAAAGAAAGAGACCCTCGAGAAAGGGGTTAGCATTCCTGGCTGAAGCAGCTTAGGTGGATGGTGGACCTGCTCAAACGAGAGACAAAGAGGAAGGGCTGCATTTGCAGATGGGAGTGGAGGATGTGTGGTCTTCTATGTATTCCATTAGAAGTGCCTGGTGGGTTAGGTGGAGATGCCCAGCAGGCAGTTAGATATGTGGGACAGGAAGTGTGGCAAGGGCTGGGCTGATGTTAGAGACTTAGGAATCCTCTATATTGACAGACTTGTTTAAAGAGAGTTTCTAGGGTAAAGAGAGGAAAAGCCTTTTCCAGTGTTAATTAGTGACCTGAAAAGGTCGGGGATGTAGCTCAGTTGTGGAACCTTGCTTAGTCTGTGGGAAGCCCTGGGTTCGATTCCTAGCACCTCAAACCAGGCCAGGTGCCTGTTATTGTACTCCTCTGGAGGTGGAGGCAGGAGGACCAGGAGGACCAGGGCAGCCTGTGCTACCTGAGACCCTGTCTCAAACAAGCAAAAGCCAGTAGATAGATGACTTGAAGGTGATTGCTCAGTGTGCTTGAGACGGCTTCCTTTGAGAGTTTATAATTTTTACTGTGTATAGACGCTGGTATCCAGAGGATTATGAATTTGCACCGAAGAAGGCCGCTTCTCACAGGTAAGATCGGGACCTTCTGATGAGGGCTGACACACACTTAACCCCAACCTGACTTCTTAAATAATAACCTCTCTTCTCTATTCTTTCCTGGGCAAAATCAAGTCGTGGAAAGGTAACTTTCCTACACTAAGAGCCCCAAGGATTCTGGCTAGGTTTCTCCATCCTGTTCTCAGCAGGGTTCTATCTTTGGCTTTTTTGGGGGTGGGGTCGGGGGGTGTTGTTTTGTTTTGAGTCATGTAGTCTGTTATAGTCTTAAAACATGGTTTGAAAGTAAGACAAAACAATTTGTGACCTTTGTAGAAACTAGCACTGTTAATCTCTCTTCTCACAGAGGATGCAGATATGTGGCCATCAGAAATAGGACACTATAGCCGGGTGGTGATGGCATATGCCTTTAATCCCAGCACTCGGGAGGCAGAGGCAGGCCTGGTCTCCAGAGCCAGTTCCAGGAAAGGCGCAAAGCAACACAGAGAAACCCTGTCTCGAAAAAACCAAAAAAAAAAAAAAAAAAAAAAGTTAGGACACTGTAAACTTTTGTATCAGGCAGTTGTCCTGCCTAGATACTTTTGCTTTTTGGTGTGTCTGTGCTGGCAACTTCAGGCACACACTCTTTCTTTTCAATTTTGGAGCCATTTAGAAAGAAAAGCTGACTGATAAGGACAGGTTAAGGGAAGCATTTGGTTTACTGATTTACTTAATTGAGATACTCTGTAGTGTACAGTTCCAGGCATCACAGAAAGACCAGTCCCTCAGCTAGAATGGCCTTCTCTTGTGTCCACGGGGGCGTCCCTAGATGATAGTGTACTAATTCAGGGGGCATCCCTAGATGATAGTGTACTAATTCAGGTCTAAGATACTTTATCAGAAACAATGGAGGTTTAGAATTTTCTGGAGTTTAGACTTTTTCAGATTTTATTGATTTTCCTATTACATTGCGGCATGCATACATGTGTGGTCATGGTGCATGTATGAAGATGTAGAGGCAGGTCTTAAGAGTTAGGCGTGTGTAGTCATCAGGCTTGGCAAAGGTGTCTTTATCCTCTGACCCATCTCACCAGCTCCTTTTCAGTTTAGGAAGCTGATAGTCACCTACATTGTTCATTATTAGTCCCCTAAGTAGATTTGAAGAAAACTGGCCCCCATAATACAATAGACATTTCTACAAAAAAAAAAATGTGGTTTTTCCCACAAGATGGCATAGCTCACAACTGTATGTAAACTTTTGCCAAGTTTGGGTCCAGCTTTGCCATACAGCGGGTTCTAAAAATACTTTGAGATTTTCGTCTGTTTTCGAGTTCAATATTGTGATGAGAGATTATGCATTGTTGGGGCTGAGGACATACTTCAGTTGGTAAAGCACCTAGCTCACCATCATAAGCACAGAGACCTAGGTTCCATCTCCAGAATTCATGTGAAATGCTGGGTGGTGCATGCTCTGTTCTCAGCACTGAGGAGGCAGAGAAAGGCTGAATAGGGTTCCATGGCCTGCCACTCTAGCCTAGTTGGTGAGCTGCAGGCTAACGAGAGACCCTGTCTCAAGAGTGGGATGGCATCTGAAGGATGACGGCCTTGGTTGACCTCTGACCTATAAATGCAAACACATATGTGTGAAAAAATGTGCTTATGTGTTGTTATGTTACGGGGGGGGGGGGGATATATGTATGTATATCTCCAAATAATATTTCAAATTTATTTTTGACAGTATCATGCATATTTACAATGTATCTCCATCATATCTACCCCAATTCCTACCCTTTCCGTCATCACTTCATCCCCCACTTCCCGCCTCCTTAAAATGTCCCCCTCCTACCTTTATGGTTTTGTTTGTTTGTTTTTCTTGTGTGTGTGTGTGTTGGATTGAGACAAGGGCTCTCTGTATAGCCCTGGCTGTCCAGGCATTTGCTGTTTAGACCAAGCTAGCCTCACACTCACAGAGATCTGCTTGCCTCAGCCTCCTGAGTACTGGGATTAACAGTGCACACCAGCACACCCATTTTCCTTTTCTCTTTTGTATAACCCACTGAATCCAGTTAGTGCTGTCTGCTCACACATGTGGGGTCACCTGCCACAAAGAAAAATGACCCTCACCCCAGCAGCCATTGCTTGCCAATAGCTCTTCAGCTGGGGGCAGGAGGCTCTATTTTATAGAGTTTCAGTCCTCTACCACACCTATATGACTTAGGAAAAATGAATTATTGCCTTTGCCACAGAAATGAAGGCCTTAAAACTCCAGCAATGAATACTCTGGAAGAGGCCCTTGGCCCACCACAGTGTGTTGATTTACTTACATACCATTTTATTCTTGGTTACCTGATTTCTCAGGCTACAACAGCTGAGAAACAGCATGTCGGAGAAGAAAAGCTGTTAGGTGGAGGCAGGCTTCCTGTGATCATAGCACACATTACCACAGAAAGGAGGCAGAGCCTCCTCTATGGCTAGGTACCGTCTCATCTGATGATTGGCGTTCATTAGGATGACGGAGACTTGAGCTGCGGGAGTATGTAGGTATATTCTGTTCAGGGACATCCCTGAATATTACACAGTGTTTCCAAAGCTCTGGTTCTTGGGCTGCTGGTAAGTATTCCATGAATGTGGTTGGTTACATTGTAGAAATATAGTATGTGTAGTACAGGTTCTTCTTAGGAATTCATGTGCATATTAAATTAGTCAATGTTTTGGAGAGAACCTCAGGAAAGAAATGGTTAACCTAGCTTCTTCCTAAAGTCATTTGAACCTGAGATCCCCTCCACCCCAAGCACATCCTAGTCCTCTGAAACAAAGGGGATTTTTAGTCTCCTGCATTCACAACATAAAATAAAGCAAACACCAGCGCCG